TGGAACCAGGGACGGAGAGGGCGCAGCACTGGCCGAGGAAGGAGGATATCAACGCGTTGGAACCAGGGTTGGGAATGGCGCAGCACTGGCCGAGGAAGGAGGATATCAACGCGATGGAACCAGGGACCTGGAGGGCTCGGCACTGGCCGAAGAAGAATATCAACGCGTTGGAACTACGGACGGAGAGGGCGCGGCACCGGCCGAGGAAGGAGGATATCAACGCGTTGGAACCAGGGTCGGGGAGGGCGCAGCTCAGGCCGAGGAAGAAGGATATCGCGATGGAACCAGGGACGCGGCGGCGATGGGCGTTGCAGACACCGAGCCCGGCCAGCGGCGGTGGAAGCGGTCCGTCTCACAAGGAAAAGCCCGAAGTTGTCCACGGCTTAAGACGTTCCATCGTCGACCGACTCGTTCCCCTTTTGTCTCTCTCCGGAGGAATGCTGATTCATCGCCAGGAATTCAGAGACAGCCCAATTTGCGCGCTTATTTATCTCTTAAGGTAGTCGTCTTATAGGCTCACGACATCGTGCTACTTTGGAATATGCGTTAATAAGATTCGAATACACGACTGTAATCAGCGTGTGAAAAAATGGTGAGAGAACAACTTCTTACTGGAAGCTAAATATTTGCAGGTTCCCGGAAGACATTACGTGATTTTACAAATTTTATTACCTTAAAATATAATGCAGTGAAAGTGTGAGCACGCTCACGCTCGGCCAATATTGCGTAACTACGGAGTCGGCTGAAAAAGTTGAGAAAAATTTCTGGTTCGCAGAGCTTCGTGGGAGTTTGCGATCGCTGCGCGGTAGCAGGAAATGTTTGCGCGTCGAACAATATTTGCATTACAAAAATCATGCCAAGTGAATGTAGGAAGGAATGGAACATAATACTCCCTTAAATACATTGGACAAAGAAAGTCATAATTAAGGTAATTATTCCAGCTTCTATATATTCTACCGTGGTCCAGGGGCACTGATGAGGTGCTACGAAAAACGTACTGGCTTAATGAATTAATTCACTTTTTATTATGATGTCGAAGTAAAAATAGATATATTGACGATAAATTGAAAGAGTAAACAACACACTTAATAAAAATTAATGCATTAATAACATGAAAAATATATCAAGGAATCGAATTTATTTTAGGGAATAGTTTTACAATTATTTACGTATCCGTCCTTAGTTTTTAATCGTGACTTTCTTTCAACCATAAGAAACAAATTTCTATTCTTAAGCAAGTGAAAGTAGGACGTAACACAGGAAACATATTTTACGACCATGCAGAGTTGACTCACCAATCCAGATGATCAATATGTGCATGGTCACAGGCACAGTCCAATGCATCAGCAATAACATACCTGCAAGAAAAAATAAAATATAAGATACGACTCCGGAAAATTTCAATGAGGCAAATGCAACAAATGTATACATAATAATGTATGAATAAGCACTAAATAAATACACACATAGGCTAATTTTGTCAGTTCCTGCACGAGAAAGCGATTTTAAAGCTACATTAATTCTATTGATAGTCGTCGCAAGAGGTTGAGTTACGTGAATCGTCTTTAATGTATAACATTCTGTGTTGAAGGCTTTTCCAGTCCATAAATGGGTAAAATTAGTAATTCCTCCTCATCCTTTTCTTCCTTACAAATCGCAGAAGCGTCATGCTTTACGGTACACTCTAGAAAAATTTGCACAACATGACATTTTCTGCATTAAAAAGCGGTATCGCCGCATGCATAAATTGCTTTAAGACATTATTAAAACACGTCACTCCAACCGTTGTGTACTGATTACACATTCCCACGGCATCGTGGGCTGCCGAGGAACGCTGCAGTTTACAATGGAGCGACTTCCGATGTATGCATCATTTGGCATTTTTGCGTTTGTGCGTGACAAAACAATACAGATTCAATAAAGAAAGAAAGAAAATTACAACTTCAGTTATATTTTGGACTAAAACATTTTTATTTCACAGTTTCGCAATTGAAATACGGTTTATAGTAGTAAAGGAACACTCACAAATATAATTCCAATGTGTAGCTAAAGAGCTGCACATGAGAAGATCCTCATGCGAATGCTTCCTAAGTGTGACTGCTTGTATTAAGTACACACTTGTTATGAAGTTTCACTGGCCTCTGCGAGAAATGTAGAGATATTAACACGTTCTTTCCATGTTTCTTGTGGCGTTAAGAACGTCCCACTTTCATTATTGCACGTAGGCAAGTACTTCACATCAAGCACATACATGTATGTCGAGACGGCATTCATTTCCCTAACGGAAAAACTCTCAAATCATTCATTTGCAGAAGAGCCATTAACGATATTTGAGAGTATTAGAGGGACAGTGACTCCTAACATCCAAACGCAACGGTGTTTGATTTAAAGTATGCTGTGAGTTTAATCTTACGAAGTTCCAAAATTGGGCCTGGGATTTATCAAATGTAGACCTGCGTTCTCTTCAAGCTAAACGCGACAGCTTCTATTCCTATCTGTTATCAATGCGCCATAGACGACAAACGGCGGGGTGCACTACATGACGTCTCCCCTTCCTCTTGCAGATTGTTTTACACTGTTCACAACAGGGTCACGACAGTACCAACAAGATAAACCGCTTGAGATATGATAGTACCAATGAGCTGTACCAACACATTTGAAACTCTCGGTAAACTCCGAAAGATCTTGTTCGTTATGTAAGGAATCAACACTATACTTTTGTAAGTTCAACTTCATTTCTTATTATAATATGTTTTTTGTATGAATCAATACTTGTGGAAAATAATTTGCAATGTAGAACCGAGTTATTTACGAGTACATAAAAACTTGTATATTAGTCATTCAATGTACAAAGTCTCACCAAAAGAATACAAGGAGAAAATCGGCCTAGATTTGGAAAATATATTACCTAAGAAAGTAAAACGAAAAACACACATCTGTTAACAATTGGACGTGTACATTTATATCCTGATTCAAGTTTCATGATTATGTACATTGTTGAAATCAGGGATATATCTTGGTCGTTGTGATCGCGCACTTAACTATTGCACATTTATGAACTCTTAAATTTGTGGTGGAATGCTAGGCGAAAAAAAACCCAAATAATAATAATTTTGTTATTAAATTAAGGTCTATGATTGTAAATCATAGCCTTCAGTTCTCCAGTCTTTCAAAGGAAGCTGGCGTAGAAGTTGTTGACGTCGATATTGGTTCTTTACATTCAGAGAGTATCACGCTGTAACGCAATGGACATATTTCTGTATGTTTTAGCATAGATAACGATAAGCAATATTGGCAGTTACTAGATATTTCTTTTATTTTCTGTCAAGACTACAATACTCTTGGCCCTCTTTCCTCGCGTCCATCTGTCGGCCCCTGAGGGACCTACCAAGGTCTCCTGTGGTCCCTACCGCCCCCATGCAATTTATTTTCTGTCAAGACAACCAAACTCTTGGCCCTTTTCCTCGAGGCCATCTGTCGGCCCCTAATAACCTACCAGTGTCTCCTGCAGTCACTACCACCCCATGTAATTTTTATTTTCTGTCAACTCTTTGCTCTCTTTCCCCTCTGCCATTTTTCGACACCTGCGGGACCTACCATGTGGTCACTACCGTCCCCATGCAATTTATTTTCTGTCAAGACTACCATACTCTTTGCTCTCTTTCCCCTCTGCCAACTGTCGGCACCTGCGGGACCTACCAGGGCCCCATGTGGCCACTACCGCCCCCATACAATTTATTTTCTATCAAGACTACTTTACTCCTTGCCTTCTTTCCCCGCTCGCTACCATCTGTCGGCCCCTAAGGTTCCTGCCAGGGTCTCCTGCGGTCACTACCGCCCCCCCCCCGGAACGAGGACACATCGGTAATTACCATTTCAGCCCTCAAAAACACTGGCGGCCGCGCGTGTGCTTTGAATGTCCGCGTTCGTCGTGGAAGCCGCGTAGCTGGACGAAGCGGCCGCGAGGTGACGCGCGGCTTTCGCGCAACGGCTTCTGGCTGCGCAGACCACAGCTGGCGCGCCGTGACTTGCGGCTTCCGCGGAGCATTCTGCAGCGCACGCTCCCCCTCACGCTCCCAGCACGCTCCCCTCGCGCTCCGACCCAAGGCAGGGCGCGCGCCGAAATGGACCGCACGGTGCGAAGCCCAAAGCGGCAAAGGCGGCGCGGGGCGTCAACTGACGGGTTTAGATTTTAGATTTAGATTTATTTAGTCAAAAAAAAAAAAACAGTAAAAACTGGTATGTGATGTATGGGGGAGAAGATTATCTGCGCACGTTTTCTTGAGTTCCAGAATCCCTTCCCGTCATTTTAATTATAAATAGTTGAAAGATGAGTGAACGTTTAATATAAATAAATAAATTTTAAAAAAGCACGAGGTTAGCAATATTTGAAAAAATAGACATTTTCGTCGACAAATAAGTTATAGTAAAATTATTTGCATCGGTAAACGAATTGCAAGTATGATTTTTCTGCATTACTTACAAAATAGTAACTCGCCCTTACCTCTACTCCTACCATTACAAGCAAAAGCAGAGTTCAGCAATACGTGCGCATTGTGAAGCTACATGTACGTTTAGAAGCAAAAAAAAAGGTTCCATCACAGCACTTGCTCAATGGATCAGAGAAACTGCACAAACTTGGAACTTGGACAAAAACCTGATCGAGATGGGGGTCATTGACCCGAAAGCTAAAGTACATTATTTGTTACCAACAATTTAAGATGTCCCTGCAGTGCCTCCGAGCGGGAGGTCCTGAGGTTCCAGGAGGAGGTAAAATTTCCAACAATAGCTACATAGCTAAAGCTCGACTACTAAGTAAAAAAAACATCATGGAGTCGCTTATCTCTGGCGGTGGGACTAAACTATCCCCCACAGCGAATGCTAGAGTAATACCCTAACAAGTGGGTCACGGACCGCGTTCAATCGTCCATTCCTCTCTCTTGTCCTCCCTGGTAAGAGATACCTGGTTGAAAACCCCCTGCAAACCGACTTAGAACGACGCCGTATCTCGCTACCTAGCGGGGCACAATCAACACCATCTCTCGCGATAAATGCACTACACTTATGGGACTAATGACCTTAGCAGTTGGCGCGCCTAGATTCACTAATCAATCCATCCAACCATCCTATGGTGGGTGCACAGTAAAAATGGACCGTACGGTACCAAGTTCGGTGTAAAGCCATTCCTTAGGAAACGCATTTTTTCGCTAATGTTAGATGAGTGGAAGATGAATTCCCTTTAAAATCTGACAGTTCGTTAATCATGGGACTAATGACCTTAGCAGTTGAATCACTAATCAATCCATCCAACCATCCTATGGTGGGTGCACGGTAAAAATGGACCGTACGGTACCAAGTTCGGTGTAAAACCATTCCTTAGGAAACGCATTTTTTCGCTGTTAGATGAGAGCTTTAAAAGTGGAAGATGAATTCCCTTTAAAACCTGACAGTTCGTTAATCATTATTTATCCAAATTACATTTTTATCTTGAAAAGACCGAGTTTCTCTTCCGAAAACCGTCGGCGAAATGGATTCCCATTCGTCAGTAACGGAACTTGTTCGCATCGAGCGTACCAACAATAGCACGGCACCACGAATGCAGCGAAGCAGGAAGATTCGACGACACCCATTTCGCACAGTCATATTTTTTTCTGCGATGAGTAGAGACAGGCATTCAATTCAAACGCATGTTTTTACTTGACCTTCTTTGAGATATCAAACTTTCTAAATGCAGATTTCATGGCAAACTCATTGCAAATATGTATGTTTTTTTTTTTTTTGCACAAATGCAAAAATGTATAATGCATGTTTTAGACGCTTTTTCATTTAATATATAAATACATAGATTTATATTTAGTATATAAATCCTTTTTTTAGCACAATTATTTAATATTAAAATAAATAAAAATATATTTTCTTAATATTAATTTTAAATAGTTAATATTAAAATAGATTGATGCATATTTTGCAGAAATTGTATATTATTCCTATAACCAGAAAGCTCTTTGTCCTTGTTTTTTATTGTGACGAGTCAGAATTCGACTCGATCTCGCGACCTCGTCATCCTCTTCTCCCGTCGCGTCATCCCTACCCGCATTCTTCCCATCCCCTCACACTCGTCATCCACCCACATTCTTTTACATAACACTCAATCTGCGCTATACTCCTTCCCTCCTCCTCCGGCCTCTGTTTCCTTTACTATACTCCACCATCCCCTTTCCCTTCGGCAACCAATCTTCGACACTGATTGCTACCTTGCCCGAGACTTTTAATTTTTTAGTGTTTTCGGCCGCGTTAACAGCTTGGGTCATTATTCCTGTACGTATAGTGCATGTTTTATCGCGGGATGTGACGATAATTTTTCTCCACTGGATGGGAAGATCCGGGGCTAACTTCCATGTCGTTCCCGAAATTACCCACCAGCGGGCACCGCACTATCGGGGATAAGTTCTAAGCCTCCAACTGGTCTCCTGACATGTGTAGTGATGTTTTGCATGTAAGTGTAAATGTGTTTAAATAAGAGGGAGAATAAGATACGGAAGAGGAAGGAAAGATTGCGCGCTGTCCGTGGTCCGTTTGAATGGCGAGATCCGGCGCCGACATACATCACCTAGCGGGGTTTCCCCCAACCAGGTATCTCCCCCCAGCAGGGCACCGCCCCAGACGGGACAAGCTCTACCGGCTCCCAACCGGTCTCCCGGAATGTGTGGTGCTGTAGTGGAAGTTTGTGTAAGTGTGTGTGAGAGGTGAAGATGAGGAACAGGAAGGAAATAACGCACCCGTTTGTTAGGGTACTGCTCCTGTTGTTGATCGGAGAATCCACGAAAAACTACAGATCAGAGCAGCTGTTCGCCTGAATTCTCCTCCAGACAGCGGCTGAATGCGGCCCAGTGCCGAAAATCCTGCTACCGTCGAGAGTGGAACCCTATGACCTCCCGGTCGCGGGCAGTGCAGTGACATGAGTCGATGGCCTGAGCCCCCTAAGCCGGTCCCGCCACAGGATGTTCGCCCGCAGACGCGGCGATGGTATGACGGTTAGCGTACCGGACTGTTATACCCAAGCTCGGGGATTCAAACCCGATCGAAGCCGTAGATTTTTTAGGGCGACAAAATCCTTCGTACGCCTGTCTTCGGAGGGAAAGTAAAGCCGGCTGTCCCATGTTAGTAGATTTACTCAATGTAAATGACGCATGTAAATGACGCCTCTGAGCTAAATTCAAATCGCCTGTTTCTCGCCCAAGAAATACCTCCTTTCTCTGCTAGTTGATGAAAGGAGCGTAGCGAAATTTGCGTGGTCAGACGGAAGAGCGGGCCTGATGGCCCGAGTCTCGCCACGTAAAATAAGGCAAATTCAATTCAATTCAATTCAAATCACCTGTGTGGACCCCCACGCCGTGCATCTGACTCACCGTCACGTGGGGGGGGGGGCTGGCCCGCGCCCAGAGCGTCTGGCTGGCGGTGCAGCGCGTGGGTGGCGCGACGCAGCGCACGGTCGTGCGCGCCCCACTCGTCCCCCCACGCGCATACACACGCGCACGCTCCGGCCCACGCTCGCCATCGAGGTCTTCGCTCCGCGCGGCGTCACTTCACGCCCCCTCGTGTTTTCTTACAGCACACCGCAAGCTCTTCAGAACGAACACTGGAAGCCAGATTCACTCTCCGAGCAGCGCAACTGACTGACTATTCTTTGTGATGTATTGAAAGAATTGACGGGGGTGTAAGGGAAAGTTCATATAACATCAAGGTGGATAACTCAATGAAAGAGAGTTTTTGCACCGTATAACGTACAGCAGTTGGCAGCACTATCTTCCGCACATGCGTAGATACGCACAAGTGATGCGAAACGTGATCTGCGCATGCACAAAAGATCGATAGTGCTGTCGATTGGGGTAACGTTTCGCTGCACAAAATCTCCATGAAAACTTTGTAATTCAAATTACACATTCTTGTGGTTTGATGAACTCAAATACAGTCGGAATCTCGAGTAAGACCTTAAGAGACGATCGTGGACCCAACGCATAATTGTCCTTCTTTCACACCCATTCCTGAGCTGAACACTGTACCGAGAATCCTTTTCATCTAAATTCACTGAAGCAGCTCGAGGCGAGACCATGGTCCATACTTTAACAAATACGTATTCTGAAGTTCTCTTTGTTTTACACTTATTATGGAATATTAGAGATTTAGATAATTAGAATCATTCTGACCGTTATCAACTTAATAATATTAAATAACTTCTCTTTAATAAAGATATGCGTGACGAGTTTTAGCGTAAAAATTATCATCTGTTAAGCGAACAATACTTTTTCATGACTAATCTTTACCTAATTTGCAACAATTTACAATATTTTCTACTCCCTCGTTTCCAGAAACATACAAATAAGAAACGATTTCTAATATATACCTAAATTGATCACAACATTTTAAAGATAATCAAATGAATATTGAAGTCCTTTCAAATGGAAAGTCCCAAACAGCCTCGCCTTTAGCCATGTCTCAATTGGGAAGGAACCTCCCATGTGTGACGTGCACCAAGACACCTGCCTGCAAAGGCACTCCAAGGTGATTCACACACAAGTGCCCTTGTGCCTGCCACCCCCGTGTTCTAATGTTATGAATTTTGTTACGTAAATTGTATTTAGCTTATACAGATGTTTGAGTGTGAAGTCGAGCGCCGACTTAACAGTTGCCACATGAGTTATAAAAGTGACCGATTAATACTGTCCGAAATTAATAAAAAATCTGTCTGAAAATGGCCACCCGTTCACAAACGTGGTGATTGCACTGCTTTAACTAGGATTGGAGTGGCTCTGACTGTCCATAGGTAGCATATCTAAGAGTCAGTTTAAGTTAACTGATGCCATTGCATCATATTACCGCCGATCATGCATTTAGTACTCAATACCCTGCATATTTGCTGACATAACCTCTCCACTGCACGGAGGCTTCGCGAGAAGACATCATAAGTGTCCAATACGAATAAGCCCGGCTCACTATAATGTTTTCATCTGTCACAACGGATTTTCAACCATGGCATGCCAGTCTCGC